GGATGAAAATTGTGGAATTCGGGGTTGAAATGCCATTGAAATCAAAAGGTAAAATTGGTGGGCATGGAGAGTTTTACTTCCAAGAAAGATTACAAATATTTTTATTGCAGAATTTTTAAATATTCTTTCATTGAAATGTAATTATTTACATATGTATATCTACATCACTTTCTCCAAGCCTTCATGCTCAAATGTTCTATGAGTTCATCACAAGGCAGAAAAAATTCAATAGGTCCGGTTTGTACATTGACCCATTTTATTACATTATTATTTTTACTCAAGCTCCTCAGCATTATGAGAAAAAGGTTAAATGTGACGTGAATATTAAATGAACTTATTCAAAACTCAGCAAAACTTTCCTTCATGCAGATGTGTTTAAAGGCAATTGTATGGGAATTGCGGCCACTCTCTGTATCACGTTGAGGATGTCTCTATTCGTTTACGTTTTTGCGTATGGAATCCCAAAAGAAAGACAAATAGTATGTCAGAACGATATTTTTTCGTCCCCTCTTTGGAGCTTTTCAGCTTGAGATATCCCCGTAAATGGCAAGAAATTCTCCCACGATTTTTTGAGGCCAAATGACAAAATGAGACAAATGCTCACTGACAATCCCAGAAGGGAAGAGAAGAGCTGGAAAAATTCGAAAAATTTAATCCAGGCTTTCCCAACAATCCGGCTGCAACGCGGCTCATGAAAAGCACAACATCATCTGCAATCAGAATAAAGAAAAATGCTAGGTTCGCCACTCGTGGCGAATTGAATAAAGTCACTCGCATAAGCGAAAAATTTATGATAATTCTCCATTAATTCAACAACTTTTAGCACTGCAGCGGTGCTTCAGAATTGAATTAGAAATTTTCTCCTCGTCCTCACAAGGAATTACACCACGGTATTCGCCCATAGAAATTTCAGTGAATGTAAATAATTTGTGGAAATTAAAACTTTTGCTAAAACACGCTGTCGCGTTGTTGCTTTTGAGGGTGGGAAAGTTACAGCGACGACAGCGGAAATCTAAGCGGGAACAGTGTTGAAATTAAAGCTTCCCGTAGTGCTGCTCTTTAGGGAAAGTATGCATAAATGGTCCTGATGATTCCTCCATTACTAATTAGGTTTGTCCGCGTAGATTTTCCTCCATCACGATCGTCCACGCACAGCTCTGTTTTATAGGGTCAATTTGGCAAAAAGTAGAGATACGCCCACAATTTATATTTAATGATTTCAATGTGATGTCATTTATTTTTGCCATTTCTTCATGTCCTGAATCGTTGACACCTGTGATTTTTTTTAACTGTTCCGCCCCACGCAAAGGAAATAATTAAGGCATTTCTACATAATGGGAAAATAATTTATTAGTCATGCTATTCAATACTTATGTGAACTGAAAACATCACGTTCTTCACAGATTATTCTCGCGACGATTTTCATTAGGATGTCCTGTGGAGATGGGCTAGGAAGAGACAAAAATAAATCGCTTCTGACAAATGTGCGTGACTGGATTTTCAATTAGTCAAAATCCCACCATCGAGACAAAAGAGGCGAGTGTTGAGGATAAGATATATTGCACTACATTGAGTTATAACATGTAGCCCGGTTGTAGGATATTACAAAAACTCCCCCGCAATTTATCAATTATTTCCACTCGGAGAACATAAAAATTTCCATCTTGCTAACCCTTTTCGAGAGCTCCACGTAGACACATAGCGTCGGTGACACCGAAGGAGTGATATTCAAATCAGGCTCTGAAACTTGAGATGCAATCCACCCTTCGTCGTAAATTGGCTTTACGTGTAATGAGAGCGCTTTGAGGTGGCGAAAATTCCCGAAAGCTTTCATAACTTGCAGAAATATCAAACTCTGGCTCAGTGATTTGTGTAATTGAAGTTAATTTTGAGCGCTAGCCAAAAATAGTTCTAATTATCGCTTCAATTAAAATAATTCTCCCCTGAGATATCAGACATGATAAAAGGATATCACTAAGCTGTCACATGGCTTTGCATGTGTGAGAAAGAGCTTTAAAGAGCACTAGCAATATATGTAACATCTCATAGAATCAATAAATCAAATCACAGTGACCGAGAATTCTTTCGGCAAGACATGATTTGATTGAATTTTAAAATGATCTCAACGCTTGTGATTCAAGTTCTCGTAATCCCTTAAATTTATACTCAGAATTATTGAACATAATCAATCCCGGCTCATTTCTAAATACGGCCAAATTGCAAACCATTAGTTCTCAAGTGCTAAATTGCCAAATTTTTCGGCGAACAATTCCAAGCCAGGTTGATAAATGACCGTCGTGGGGATTTTCAGCGAAATATTTCGTATAAATTTTTCAAAAATTCATTTTACACGAAATTTAACTTCCTGCAACATTACGTTTCCCACTTCAGCGAAAATCTGCCAAGAGCCGATGGTGAGTGTCGTATAAGTTTGAGTGAAGAGCCCTGAATTTTTTTGCATAACAATAACCATTATCCATTCGGGGCGCACACACTTTTTACAGCTTTTGGGTGTGACTCGGAGGGTGATGCGAAAGCTCTCGCGAACGCGTGCGAGAGCTTGAAGGAATTTTCTCTGGGGCAATAGCAAGAGCACTCTCCTGCCCATTAATCAAGTCAATTTATTGGAATAATTGTGGCGATGACTGTGGCACTTTCAACGCGCGACCGTGATTAATAGCCATTAGGAGGAGAGGCGAAAAAAGTCAGTTGAAATTATGAGGTCCACCGCGGGGGTCCAGAGCGCGTGTCCAGCGGGCTCATGTGAGAAGCGCGATGAAGTGGAAATACTCCCGAAATCTCAATTAATATTGCCAGCACTCGGATGATGTGGAAATGCCTGAAATATTACAGAGCTCACGAGAGCCTCCGGTTCTCGAGTATTTACATTCGCGCCACCATGAAATTACATTTTTACACGCTTTTCCACGGACGCTCGAGGCGGGAAATTGGAAGTTTTAACACTGGTGGAAAGCCCCGTGTCTCTGCTCCACACCTTTTAAATTAAATTTGGGCAAAAAGGTGAAATCTCACCATTTCACAAATATAATATTCTGATGAAAATATCAGGGAACTTCAAGATTGTGTGGCAAGCAATAGAGAAAGTGGCATCGTCACTTTGCAAATATTTTAGCAAGTGTAAATGGTGGTAAAAAGGAAAACAATATTATTCTTTGCAGCCACCGTGTGAATAATGAATATTACACTAACATGGAAGGGCTAGAGGGGCAAGAGGTTAATTCCAATTTGTATGGTAATTCACAGAGCTCTTCTCAGATATGTTTATGCACTCCTACATCGCACACCAGAAACGTGGCTTAAGCACTAATTGAGAGTATTAGTGTGCATCCTCACGAGCAGTTTGGGATCTATAGCATTGGATGAATTTCCACAGTCTTCACGGGGGAATTTGTAAGTTTTCGCGTCATTACATGTCACTTCTTTGTGCTGACTGACAAATTTGAATAAGGATTTGCTCTAGAAAGAAAGCGGAAAGTATCTATCTCTCCTGCTAAATTCCACTTTCAATAAAGCGTGAAAAGTTAGCACGTGCCCACGGCTAGAATTACACGCCAAAAGAGATGTAACCCACATAGTCATTATGCAAATTTTCGCCATGCTATTATTTTTTATATTTTTCCGCTTTTGAACCGGTAATGGAAATTCTTTAGTCGCCTCGGTATTGTGGCAATCGCGGGGGAGTTGGGCAAGAGCTAATGAAAAATTCATAGATGAGGAAAATGTTTTTATGTGAAGCAATTTTACTCGCACTATATCTATCAGGATATGATTTTTTCAAACTCCTACAAGGATGTTCCAAACTATGGTGACCGTTATCAATAAAGTTTTAGAATCCGTCTAAAGAGGATTAAGAGTTGAAAAATAGTATCTGTAGCTCAAAATCCTCTGGATGACAAGTTCAAAAATCCCTCCTTGATTGAAAATTTATTGAATAATCATCCTTTAACAAGACTTTTATCAACAACTGAGCATGCAATGGTGTGAAATGTTATTGGCAATCTCCACAAATCCTCGCTAGCACTCGTGGAAGCGGAAATCAGAGAGTCATCAATCTTCCACTGATAGATTTACAATGTTATTTCCTGCGATAGAATTCAGCATGAATGTCGGCCTTGAACTTGAAAATTTTCCAACAATTTCAACTGTTTTGCCGTTGGGATTTCACCCTTGCTAGATGCTGTAGACGAGCCGCAGCTTGTCATGAATAAAGTAGAATAGAGATAAAACTTTCCATCTGATATTGTGGCTCACGCACCTGATAAATAAATGGCAGAGCAGTGTGTTAATACACCTCACGCCTCCTGCAGTCCTCCGCCAGGAAAAGTGCCCAAAATTGCCTGTAGCTCACCTGGTATTGAACGAGAATTGTCTTAATAAAACTCTCCAATGATTCCTCCGCCAAGAAATCCCAGAAAAGGTCTCGTTCTCACCTGTAGAATACACAGAATAGTTCAATCACTCCATCCGCGGATGAAGGACAAAAAATTCTGTGTCCTGCGCCCTTTTCTCTGCCCAAATTGTTGTGAAGAAGTTGAGAAGACTGAGGAAAGTCCGCTCCAATTCCTCGTCTTGCCACACCAGAGAAAACGCTCGTGAGATTTACTTAGGACGTATTTAATTCACTATTTAACTAATACAACAGTGACGTAAATTCTCAACGAATTGGCAAATTTAAAGGGCCTCGAATTCTCAGAAATGCAATCTAAATTACACAAATTGCCACTATGGCCGCCACAAAAAACAGAGATATTGATAACACGCAGTGATGAGCGATTGAGGAGTGATAGAGGCCGATGACTCAGCGGAATCCCCTTATAAATCCATTCACATTCCGCTGAGCACCGGCCGACTGCGCACGAGTGCAAATGCACCCAAAAATGTCGGCGCCTAATCGATTTTGGAGCGCGCCGTTTTTAAGTGATAAGAGGAGCGCTCTAAGAGAGCTCTTAAGCGGCGCGCTCATTACTCCCCGGCTGGCCTTAAGATTCGTTGGAGTCGCCAAGGCCAGGGAACTCCTCATCTTGTTTTGGCAGGCGCGCAATCTTCACTATGGGGCGCTTATACACTCCGCGGGCTGTGCGTACTGTGACGACTCTGACCTTGCCGTCACCTCCTGGATGTGCCGTCTCCACTCGTCCCAGGATCCACTTGGATCCCTCCTTGGCTGTGTCGTCCAGGAGAAGCACGACCTCTCCGACCTCCAGGTTGTCCTGAGAGACTCTCCACTTGGGCCTCTGCTGAAGCGTGTTGAGATAGTGGAGTCTCCAGCGCTTCCCGAACTCCTGTGCTCGCCGTTGACACTGCTGCCAGTAGGAGAGCCTGTTCTCCGGAATGCGCCCCACGTCGGGATCGGGAGGTGCATTTCCAGGCGCACCAACCAGAAAGTGGCCAGGAGTGAGCATGCCACCGTCGTTGGGGTCCTCAGAGATGGTGCACAGAGGCCTGCTGTTCAGCACGCACTCGATTTGGCACAAGGTGGTGTGGAGCTCTTCGTAAGACACTGGCGCAGATCCGATGGCACGAATTAGGTGGAATTTCGTGCTCTTCACACAGGCTTCCCAAAGCCCGCCATGGTGTGGAGAAGCTGGTGGATTGAAATGCCACGAGATTCCGTCGGTCTGCGTCTGTCCCACGATTTCCTGTTGAGCTTTCTCCTGGTCAAGAAGACGGACAAATTCATTGGCTGCACCCTCGAAATTCTTGCCGCAGTCAGAATAGAGATGTCTGGGAGTCGTTCTGCGCGCTGCAAAACGACGGAATGCCGCCAAGAAGGCCTCAGTGGACAGTGAGCAGACTATTTCCAAGTGTGCAGCCTTGGTTGCCATGCACACGAAAATTGCTATGTAAACCTTCTGATTGCCGGCCTTTCTGGAGCGAACTCCCCGGGTGGCGGAAGATATCATTAGAAGAGGGCCAGCAAAATCCACACCCGTTGCTTGAAATGGACGGTAAAGATTCACGCGGTGTTCCGGAAGATTCCCCATCAGCTGCTCAAGGGGCTTCGGCTTGGCGCGGAAGCATTTGTGGCAGCTATGCACTGCCTTCCGAGCACAATTCCGACCGGAAAGTGGCCAGAACCGCTGACGGACCGTCGACAAGAGGAGCTTTGGTCCGGCATGCAGGTGCTTGATGTGCTCCCACCGCATAATCCTGTCCGTTAATGGGGACTTTGGCAACAATATTGGGTGTCTGGATGAGAACGGCTGGTCCGCGTTCTCAAGTCTTCCTCCTACGCGGATAAGCCCTTGCTCGTCCGCGAATGGTGTCAGGGATGCCAAAGACATCCACTGAGGAGGAAGGGGTTCGTTTCTCTCCAGCTGCTGATGAACAAATGGGAGAGCGCGACGCTGATCCACCTTGATGATGAACAGGAGCGCCCGATCCATCTCATCAGCGTTAATCGGCGCAATTGTGGCGGGCAGAGGATGTCGACGCCTGAGAGCAAATCTCAGCACATAAGCCATGATGCGCTGAATCCGTGGAAGGCCCGAGTATCTCTCCAATAGGGGCTGAATGAGACACTCTTGTTTCGCGGAAGCCACGAAACAATCCACCTCCTCGGCTGCACAGCCGGCTGAGCTGAAGGGCGGAGGCCAGGACGTCATTGGCTCCTTCAAGAAGGCTGGGCCTTCCCACCACAAAGACATATCAATTAGTTGTGACGGAGAAGCACCACGAGAAATGATGTCTCCTGAATTCTCCCCGGATGCCACGTGCCGCCACTGATTAGCGCGTGTTTTCTCGCGGATGGTTCCGATGCGCTTGGCGACGAAGATTTTGTACGCGTCAGGCGGGCTATTGATCCAGTGTAAGACGACTGTGGAATCACTCCAATAGTGGGTAGAATCAGGGACCACAGCATCCTGAATTCTACTTGTCGTCTCAACGGCCAAAGTCGCCGCGCACAACTCGAGTTTGGGAATTGTGATTTCCTTCTTCGGAGCCACTCGAGATTTGGCCATCAGTAGGCGAGCAAAGCGCTGTCCTTGGAAGATGGTGACCACATAAATGGCAACTCCATAAGCCTTGCCACTTGCGTCACAGAATGCATGCAATTCCACGCCATCAGGGTTGGAGAACATGGAAATCCAGCGCGGAATGCGGATTTGCGTGATATCCCGAAGCCGAAGCACAAAATCCTTCCATTGCTTCTGCACTTCAGGAGGCACTGGCTCATCCCATCCCAACTTCATCCTGTGCATGTCCTGCAGCATGATTTTGGCCTCAACAATGACCGGTCCCATCAGGCCGACCGGATCAAAGAATTTGGCAACGCCGGATGCCATGTGCCGCTTGGTGCTGATGTCCTCGGAGATGTCCATTGGAGAAGTATATCTGAAATCGTCCGAAGATGAATTCCAAATCATTCCCAGAGTGCTGGTGACGGATTCGCCCACTGTCACCGCGTCCGGCATCGCATCTTGGTCAGGTTGGCGGCACAAGCGATGGCTATTGCTCGACCATTTCGTCAGAGTGAATCCACCACGAAGAAGTAATTCCACCAGTTGAGATTGCAGCCTTTCTGCCTCCGAATATGTGGATGTCGACACCAGCAGGTCATCGACATAGAAATTGGTGCGGAGCGCAGCTGCTGCCTGTGGAAATTCCTTCTCGTGGTCATTGGCCAGCTGGATGAGTGCTCTCGTGGCCAGGAATGGTGATGATGCAACACCGAAGCAGACGCGAGGGATTCTGTAGTCTCTCAGCGGCTCGTGTGGAGAACTTCGGTAGACCAATCTCTGGAAGTTCGCGTCCGCGGAGTCCAATTGGATTTGCAGATACATTTTGGATATGTCCGCACTCATCGCAATTGGATGCAGACGGAATCGAAGCAGCGTGAGAATGAGGTTCGGCTGGACATTGGGGCCACACATGAGGATGTCATTCAAACTGTAGCCCGAGCTGGTCTTAGCGCTCGCGTTATAGACAACTCGCAGCTTAGTTGTGACGCTGGATTCCTTGAGGACTCCATGGTGTGGCATATAATAGGAGGAAGAGCCGAATTCGCCAGGTGGAACCAACTCCAGCCACCCTCTTTCCTTGTAGTCCTTCATCACCTCCTCATACATCGTCTTGAGCTTTGGTTTCTTCTCGAATTGCCTCTCCAAAGCCAAGAATTGACGCACCGCCTGTCCTCGAGACTGTCCCAGAACTTCTGAACTCTCACGGAAGGGCAATTTGACCACAAATCTCCCCTCTGCATCTCTCCTATGTGTCTCACAGAAATGAGCCTCGGCCAGTTGATGCTCGTCAGTGAGTGGTGGATCGTCCGGCAGATCCTCAAGCTCCCAGAATTTCTGCAGCGCAACATCCAGGGCTGGAGCAGCCTCTATATGGTGCACGTAAGCCGATTGTTGATGCTCTCCGACGAGGACGTAGCCAAACTCAGTCTCCTGCAGATGTGGCAGTCCTGGGCCCAAACTGATCTTGCCTGGAAGTAAACTATCCCAATAGGCATTGCCACAGATTAGTAGGTCCACTGGGCGCTGCACGTCCCACTGAGGATCAGCCAATTCGACGCCGTGAGGAATTTGGATGGCTTGCGAGTCCACTGCCCAGTTGGGGATGTCGCCAGAAATCCTTGGCATGATGTAGCTCTCGAAGGAGAACTGGCTGCCATTTTTCCGGGAGAAAATGGTTGTGGAAACGCGATGTTTCACTTGATTGGCTTGACTACCAACACCCAAGATTGTGATGTCCGAAGGAGATCTCGGAAGCCGCAGCTTCTGGTACAGGCTTGTCGTCATGATGCAGACTTGGGCTCCACCGTCTAACATCACGCGACACGGGATTCGCTGTCCACTCACAGTAATGATGTCCACCACCGCTGTCGCCAGGAAAACCTTCGGGACGGTTGAATGGGGGCGACTAGTGGAAGTGGAATTGGAGAGAGTGACTGTCGAGTGGCCAGTAAAATTAGTGTGCCCTCCAGAAGAACTCGGCGTGGTCTGGGTGTTAATGTTTGCCGCAGGAGAAGGGTTCGACGGTGGTGGGAGCGGAGCCGGCGGATCGGCAGAAGACTCACCGACGAACTTGTCGTGAAGAAGAACATTATGTTTGCCCTGGCACTTCCGGCACTTGTGGAAGGTACAGGAATTGGTATGATGAGAGGCCAGGCAATTCCTACATAAGCTCAGCTTCTTCACGACCTCGAATCTCTCCCCGGGTGAGTGTGCCAGAAAGCGGGCACATTTGTAGAGGGGATGAGCTGACTGGTTGCAGCATTTGCAATTATTTGTGGCAGTGGCATTATGGATGGATGGCATCTGCTTCTTGGGCTGAGAAGCTGGCTTTGGGACTTGGGAGCGCTCATTGGGCGGCATTTTATTAATGGGGATCGCGTTTGTGGCGTCGATGCAACGCTGATTTAAGAAGGCACGGAATTCCTTCAGAGTGGGCACTCTATTGCCGCACTCTCTTCCCCAGAGAACCCTTGACTCCGTGTCCAGTTTGTCCAGCGTGAACTGGATGAGCCAAGGGTCACGCGTGGTCACGTTGATGGCGTCAAGTGCCAGCGTGGATTCCGAGAGGATATTGCTGATTTTCTGAATGGCGGTTGGCTCCAGGGACGTGACAGAGGGCATATTATAAAACGTCCTAACATGGTCAGCAATAATCTCGCTTTTTCTCTCGTATTTCTCAATTAATAACTCCCAAGCTACCCCAAAGTTCGCGGCGGTTGTGGGCAGGTGTTTTATCAGTGACTCGGCGTCTCCCGTCAAGGCCGATTGCAAATATTCCAATTTTTGAACATCATTCAGACTCGTGGAGGACTTGACGCAAGATATGAATCGGTCTTTGAATGATATCCAACTCGAGTATTTGCCACTGAAGGTGGGCAGTTGGATTTGTGGCAATTTAATGGAACGTGAGGGATCGCTACTTGCGGTTTGACGAAACGCCGCGATGAGCTGCGTCATCTGGTCCTGGTTCTGCAGCATCATCCGCTCCATGACCGCAGCAAAGTCGCCCGAGGTATTCGGGCTAGACGTCCTGGGCAGCGGCGGCGGGAAGTTGACCAGGAAGCGGTTGATCTTCTCCAGCAGGCTCTCCACTCTCTGCAAGAACTTCGTCTTGCACGCCTGCTCGTTGATCCTGGTCTGCGCATCGCCGGTGGACTCGATGATCCGAGCGTGGACATCGATGTAGTCGGCCCTCAGCGTCGCTGCTAAATTCCTCTGGGACGTGACAACCTCTCGGGTGAGATGAGGGACGTCCGCCTCGCCCAGCGACGCCAGGTAGGCCTCGATTCGCTCGATGGCGGTCACAATTCCGTCTCGCTGCTTCACCAGAGACATGATGATGGCTGGATGGACGGCCGGAGGTCGCTGAAGGTCGCAGGAAAAGGCGAAGATGACCAAAAATGTGGCTCACGCACCTGATAAATAAATGGCAGAGCAGTGTGTTAATACACCTCACGCCTCCTGCAGTCCTCCGCCAGGAAAAGTGCCCAAAATTGCCTGTAGCTCACCTGGTATTGAACGAGAATTGTCTTAATAAACTCTCCAGTGATTCCTCCGCCAAGAAATCCCAGAAATTGTCTCGTTCTTACCTGTAGAATACACAGAATAGTTCAATCACTCCATCCGCGGATGAAGGACAAAAAATGTGGCTCACGCACCTTGAAAATAAATGGCAGAGCAGTGTGTTAATCCACCTCACGCCTCCTGCAGTCCTCCGCCAGGAAAAGTGCCCAAAATTGCCTGTAGCTCACCTGGTATTGAACGAGAATTGTCTTAATAAACTCTCCAGTGATTCCTCCGCCAAGAAATCCCAGAAATTGTCTCGTTCTTACCTGTAGAATACACAGAATAGTTCAATCACTCCATCCGCGGATGAAGGACAAAAAATTCTGTGTATCGCGCCCTTTTCTCTGCCCAAATTGTTGTGAAGAAGTTGAGAAGACTGAGGAGAGGAAAGTCCGCTCCAATTCCTCGTCTTGCCACACCAGAGAAAACGCTCGTGAGATTTACTTAGGACGTATTTAATTCACTATTTAACTAATACAACAGTGACGTAAATTCTCAACGAATTGGCAAATTTAAAGGGCCTCGAATTCTCAGAAATGCAATCTAAATTACACAAATTGCCACTATGGCCGCCACAAAAAACAGAGATATTGATAACACGCAGTGATGAGCGATTGAGGAGTGATAGAGGCCGATGACTCAGCGGAATCCCCTTATAAATCCATTCACATTCCGCTGAGCACCGGCCGACTGCGCACGAGTGCAAATGCACCCAAAAATGTCGGCGCCTAATCGATTTTGGAGCGCGCCGTTTTTAAGTGATAAGAGGAGCGCTCTAAGAGAGCTCTTAAGCGGCGCGCTCAGATATCAATGTATAGAGTAATCCCTTAGTGAATAAATGTTAGAACTGAAACCATTATTTACGATTCTCTATGCGAATTCTGTGGAAACGATTGAGCTAAAGCTCAATATACATATTCACACATTAATATATGAATGTAAAATCATCAAAGGAGATCTTGTAACTTCAAACCTCTGAACATTTCTCATAATGCTCGCTGAATGTCTGACTTGATTTCATCAACAATCATGACCTCCCCTCGTGAAGAATAAAAAGTCGTAAATGTGAAAAAATAGCAAAGAGAGAATTCACACGATTTTGAGTAATGGAGGAGGTGGTGTTTAATTTTACACAATGACCTCCACCACAGAGTCCTATTGAGAGGAGCTTACGTGTCAAAGCCATTAGCGCATTTAGACTAGAGCACACCCCAATGTTGGGGCCAAACGACATAATAACCTTTATACGAGACAGGCGAATCATTTTTGCATGTTGACATGGAACTCCATCTGCTTTTTCGCTCTAAGGACACTCCCGGATTATCGCCATGCAAATAGCATACCGAGATGACTTGCTATATACATCAGCTCTTTCCTGGAACTCTACAATGTAACATAATTTCGTACAGTATTTTCCTAGCGAGTTTCCTTGTCAATTAATTTATTCATAGTGGAGAACGGAGAAATTTAAGATAGAAATTTGAGCATCATTGTTACAAGCAACACTTTCTCAGGAACTACCTGTCGCTCCCCTATAATGCAGTACAAGTATACCAATATGAATGTCTATCGCTAAATGGCCAAGAATTGTTTTACAAGAACAATAAAATGGGAAACTCCGCTTACATTTAATCTCCTCGGCGTCTTTGTGTCAATCTTAAAAGTCATAAAACGAACGCGACAATGGTTTGCAAATTTAGAGTTTTCAGTCTGAATTTATTATGATTTATGTGCTCACAAAGAACTTTTAAGTAAATTTACATTCCATCAAGAAACTATTTTCCAACAACGCGGGAAGATTAAGACAATGAGCGCATTATAGAAATAAAGTAAATTAAGAAATTTGCTAATTCATAATATTTTCGGTCATCATTATGATTGCAAAAAGATAACTGAAACTGTATCTAGGATTCGCGAGTGAATTAAATGGAAATAATTTCTTATCCTGTCATTTCCGTAATGAGGAATCCTCCATGCAGAAGTCATTAAGATGCTATGATGCGCATATAAATTCTGTGAATGCCACAGTCGCAAAAGTGTCGCTTACACGATTTCATCCCTAAAAGGACGCTTCGTGTTTAACTTGACGCGAAACAAACTCGATTTGATGTAAATCCAGCGAACTGATCCCCTTTACCTTCACTAAAATCTGTTGACAGTACAACTTTAGGGCAATCTTGCTATGCAAATAATTTACCTAGCATTGTGAGAGGTAAGTGGAGTGTGTGGCAGAGAACCTTGAGTACACAGCTTTTTCCCATCTTGTTGAAGTTTTAACTTTTGGCAGTGGAAAAGTTTCGCAAACTCAATTATGGGAATCAATACATGTAGCGCGCTATAGACGATATAATGCGGTATTATATAAAAGTTTTCATTAAATTCACACTCGCAGAGATTTCATTTATCATCCTTCGGGAGTCTCCTCTGTCTCTATATCACCCACACAGAGAATAGCTTATTACAATCAAAACTTTGAAATGTGCTTTTTCCATCCTCTCTGGCAGAAAACTCAATCTCACCTGTCCCCCACTTGATGGATTCGCTTTTTGGGTGTGAAAAAAATTACCCGGAAATAGAAGTCTGTAGGCACTTTTCCTGCCTAGTCAATACCTTCTCGTGTCGGTGGATAATGAGAACACATGTGGAAGTGTGAAAGTGGGAATAGTGTCATGAATCTTGAACAAAAATTTACCTACACTCTAAATTAAGGCACAGCTGATAAGTTGTGAGAACGTAAAACATTTCACGTTCCAGACAACTCAAGCACAAAGTCAAGAGCATTCAAGGAAAGTGCTCGAGATTTATGACTCACGCCCTTTATAGCAGAAACCGGGGGGCTTTTTATGCTGCCAACATACTGAAGAGTCATTGTCATAACGTTATATTTTTCGCGAAACTTAATGTGATGCCAAAGACCATCTTGCCTGCGCCCGGGTTACGGACGACAAGAAAAGCCTCCCTGAGACTTATGTCTCTGGCGCCAGAACTAATTACTAGAGTGTTCAGGAACAACTGCAGAATCCGATTGTATGGGTGTGTTGTGTATTTCCCGCGAATTTCCCTGACGCCAAAGTTTCAATGGGATTTTAAGGTTCAAATGTTTGCCTAATTGAATTTTTTGAGATTCTCAGAACCTTGGAAGCCTTTCCATGGCACCCAACTCCCATTCGGTGCCGGCAAAGCGGCAAATGTAGGGATAACTTTCCAAAGCAACCGTGAGAGAATAAATCGATTTTGACTGATTTATATTACATAGCCGTAAAACATATGAATATGTACAGATATAAGTGGTATAAAAATATTATTCTCAATGCCGTGTAGGTGTGAAAAGTTGTTTCGCGGCAATTTTTTTTGCTTACTTAATGCTCTTCACAATAAGGCAATTGTATATATTCAATCACTGAAATAACATTGCTTTTCCTAGAACATCTTTTCATCAAAATTACATTTTGTTAATTTCCTTCTTGAATTCCAAGTAAAACTGTGGCATAAACAGTTGTATTGATTCAATGTCAATCTTAAATGTATAAAATACCCACGAGAAAGGTCTTTAATAGAAAGAGTAGAATTGTACTATTCAGGGATTCCCTTAACAATAAGAAGGGAGGAAATTCAGAAAACTATTACGGCTGTTGGTTGCCTAATGAACCGGAATACAGGACGACACTACACTTTCTACCAATTATGAATTCAATGTATCTCCCATTTAAGCTGTTTTCTTCCCAACCTAGAAGAATTTATGTCATGACACTGGAAAAAGGCTACAAAAGGTTCTTTCATGGGCACATCTTTAAATTTGCTTAATTGAAAAGATCGATAAGATTCATTGAAGACTTGAATTTACCTCCTTATCACCTACTTTCCCGAGAACATTGTAGTTAATAGATTCATAAGTACCCCTCGTTTATGCTAAGCTTCGTGCTGAGAAAACGCCTATGCTAAAATATTGCAGGAAATGGGGAGAAGCGAAAGCCCTTTTCATATTAAAATAGCCAACTTTTTCGAACCTGTCTAGAATGATAGATTTCATACGAGGAAATAGATGGTCGTCCATGAGCATTTGTTATCCTGAAAAGGCTCAATAGCTGAATGGCATTAAAGTTGCCGAGATATGAATTTCACGTAACATTGGATATTCCCCAGGCGGAGGCTCGAAAAGAAGAATGACAGACATCATGCGAATTTGCATGAGTCTATATATAGAAGGTTTTTGGACTGTTTAGCAGATGTGACCAGATACCATAAATCAGATGACTGAATTTTCTTTGTGACAATCCTGCAATTTTGTCAGTGAGCCAGAAAGACGCCGTGACCCGTTCATGAACTTGGACAAGCTTTACCAAATCTCTTGAGCCTATTGAGTCGAGCAAATGGACATTAGCAATGGTGAATGGTCAAATAACTGTGTTCATAGTCTTAAATGTCGATATGCTTGTCCATGTCCCGATTCGATTTAATTTCGCCAATGCACATTTTGCCGACTGATTCAATACAGTCTATTAATGGCTCACAGGGAGAGTGTCTATCGACATTATAGAGACCAAATGCGAACATATTAAATCTATAAAGAAGAGCTTATGTAGAGGCCACCGGCTACAAATGTTACCTCAAATTGAGTAGTCGTACGACACGCAGGTGAGAATAACGCACCATTTGTGTAATTTATCGATGTAGGAATCCAATTAGATTCAAAAGTTAGTTTTATGGAAAATACGCATAAAGTATGAGGACTTTAAGAAAATTCAACTATTAAATTGTATTTACTGCCA